CCTAACGTAACCGAGCGACCCCCACATAGAAAACGGGGATATCTGTGAGCAGCTACTTAAATAATTTTGTACTCTGGGGGCCACAGCGTACAAAATGAGACGCATTAGTTACGGACGGGTTACAGGCTCGGAGAAAATTAATCAGGCGGAGGAAATAGTGGGAATGGGGAGGGGGGAAGGGGAGGATAGGTGTTTCTTAACCAGTCGTTAAGAAGGGAAGAAATTGAAGCCCGTAGGGTTGGAGTTATACAGGAAAATTCAGATCACTGTATATAGTTGTATAGATGTATTTGCAGGCGATGAGTCACAATAACGTGGCTAAAGCATGTTGACCAGACCACACACTAGAAGGTGAAGGGACGACGACGTTTCGGTCCGTCCTGGACCATTCTCAAGTAGATGTATTTGTTTGAGGCTGGCCAGATGATGCTCTCATACTACGGGTTGAAGTCATTATGTGTCATCACTTTCTATTCATCTCAATTAATTTTGGCCAATTAAGTTAAGTACATGTTATTTCCGTCACCATTATCTTCTTACTCGTAAATTGCCTATTTTCTAATATACTACTGACGTGTATTTTTTAATTTGTAATTACCTGAGCGTAATTACAAATTAAATTACAAATTATATATATATATATATATATATATATATATATATATATATATATATATATATATATATATATATATATATATATGGCATGGAATGTGGAATTGCTGTCAATTAATATTGAATGTGGAGATTAATAATACATGGTATTATTTATGCCGCAAGTGGGAATAGTTTATATAAATTTAAATGTGCTTGTGTGTGTGTATAGTGCTTTGTAGTGACTTTGTTGTGTGGTGTGGTTGATGGGTTGGGATGAGGCTGATGATTGAAATTGAAATTGAAATTGAAATTGAAATAAGTTTATTGAGGTAAAATACACACAAAGGGATGAGGTAGCTCAAGCTATTCTCACCCCATTCAGTACATCGTGTTAATATATACATAGACACACATCACAAACAATAAACATATTACCAAACATTCTGAGAGGTAAACATATACATTTCCTCCTTCACAAGTAGTATGGTATCAGACGTACACACAAATACTTTTATGACCTAGGTATACTGTATAGACAATTTGCAAGACACCTGCAGATAATTCAACAAAATATTACAATCTTGGTGCAAAATTCTTATATCTCTCAAGAATATCATCAACCTTTCCGTTGTGACACATCCAGGCTATTTGTTCAGGAACAGTCCTTATCTCAGTGTTTCTATATACTAGGCTGATGATTGTATGGTGAAGATTAAGGCATGTGGTGTTGGGAAATATAGGGAATATAGAAGGGGTTATATTGAGTATGTTGGGATTGTATTATGTATGGTGGGGAGGGGGTATATATGATTGTTGTTGTTATATATTCAGCTACTGGGAAGCAAAAGTTCCAAGCAGCAGGGATTGTGGTGAGCCCGTAGTGGACTTTCCTGGCGCAGGAGCGGGGTTATGTTGGTATATGTGGTTGGGGGTTGTGGTGTATTGTGGGGGGGGGGATGTGTGGTGAGGTTGTGGGGGTAGAGCTGGGGAAGGGGGGTTTGGAGGGGTTAAAGACGCGTGTCTGTGGAGAGAGAGAGTCCTCCTCCTGCAACCATCCAGGGAGGTGAGCTTTAAAATATTCCTTACTGCAAGCAAGCGCGCATGCACCCGCACACACACACACACACACACACACACACACACACACACACACACACACACACACACACACACACACACACACACACACACACACACACACACACACACACACACACACACACACACACACACACACACACACACACACACACACACACACACACACACCCACACACACACACACACACACACACACACACACACACACACACACACACACACACACACACACACACACACACACACACACACACACACACACACACACACACACACACACACACACACACACACACAACCACAAGCCTCACTCCACACACACAACCACCAGCCACACTCCACACACACACACACACACACACACACACACACACACACACACACACACACACACACACACACACAACGAGTACGATATTGCTATCGAAATAAAGTAACAGCCGAAACTACATCATACTCATATGAAAGGGAAAAATGACAGAAAACAATTAAGTTACAAGATTACGACAAGCATGAGGGAGGCATGGACACCTGGGCTGTAGGAGACTCGAACGCTGGACGCCATGAGTGTGAGGTAGATGCTCTGTCTATATGAATGGGATGTACATACCATACTAGTAGGAGGGGATGGAATTATCAGGGGGATACCGCCAAGCCATTACGAATATATAGCACTTGGAAGGGATCAGGATAAGGATTTGGGATGGGACGGGGGAAAGGAATGGTGCCCAACTACTTAATGGACTGTCGGGGATTGAACGCCGACGTGCCCTTCACTTCCTGCTAAGGACTGGGTCATAAGGGTGGACTTAGAGCAGCCTATGACTATCTCCGAACACCCACTAGTCACCCTGCAAAGTTTGGCCAGCCCCCGGATGTCTGGCCTCCAAACAGAGAAACATACATGCAGGAAATTCGGGAAAGAAAACTGCTATCGATAAACTTATATTTTATTATTTTCTGGTTATCGTTTAGCTTAATATTTTGTATAGTGGCAACCTAACAGAATTTAAAATTTCTGTTTTAAAAACCGTTGGAAATTCTTTGACAAAATTACCGTTAAAACCGTTGGAAATTCTTTGACAAAATTACCGTTAAAACCGTTGGAAATTCTTTGACAAAATTACCGTTAAAACCGTTGGAAATTCTTTAACAAAATTTCCGTTAAAACCGTTGGAAATTCTTTGACAAAAATACCGTTAAAACCGTTGGAAATGCCCAAGTAACGGAGACTCGGGGCAAGAATTCTGGTCCCCGGAAAAGTTTCAAATATACGCCACGTGAAGCACCCTTCTCAAGCTTTGTTCTCGAAGCGTGAAGTCCGCAGAGATTACTGATGGCAGCCGGCTCCCTCCTCCAGAAGCCAGCCAGCCACCAGCAGGCAGCTCCAAACCTCAGGATGGCAAGAAGTTCGGTTTTTTGAAACGCAGGCGGCCGGCATCTTAGCCCTCTGAAGCATCAACCAATTGGAACTTACGGGTAGTAAATAAAGTGGCATTTAGTAATAAGGCAAGAAGGCACTGGCAAGCAGGGGATCCAGCAGTAGACAACAGTAGTAGATAGGAGGCAGTAGACAACAGCAGGAATATATATATATAGCTAGAAGTCGGCAGCAGGTCGAGGCTGGCCTCAGGGCACTCCTTTTTTTTCCAAGAGACACAAAAGAAAGCCACAGAACTTCTGCAATCAGCTGAGAGAGGTCGAGCCTTTCTGCTCCCCTTGTTATTAGTTGTGATATATTGGATGCCCCCTTGTGTAGGGCCCCCGTCTTGTAGGGCCCCACTCTTGTAGGGCCCCACTCTTGTAGGGCCCCCCTCTTGTAGGGCCCCCCTATTGTAGTGCCCCCCCTCTTGTAGGGCCCCGTCTTATAGGGCCGCCTCTTGTAGTGCCCCCCTCTTGTAGTCACCCACTCTTGTAGTGTAGTCGCAACTCCTCCACACAGAGGCCGGAGCTCGCTGCTATAATCAGAGTTGAGCCTAAGACGAAGGATATGGATTCCATGAATATTTTGCTTTCAGTAAAATACATTTATCGTCCTGAGGCTTTGTGGATGTCTAGTGTGTGTTGTAGCTCCTGGTCCCGCCTCTGGGGGGATTTGTTGGTGTGTTGTAGCTCTTGGTCCCGCCTCTGGGGGCTTTGTTGGTGTGTTGTAGCTCTTGGTCCCGTCTCTGGGGGGGCTTTGTTGGTGTGTTGTAGCTCCTGGTCCCGCCTCTGGTGGCTTTGTTGGTGTGTTGTAGCTCTTGGTCCCGCCTCTGGGGGGCTTAGTTGGTGTGTTGTAGCTCTTGGTCCCGCCTCTGGAGTCTTGGATTACTAACAAATTTTTTGTGTATTTACTATTTGTATCTGCGGATTCGAGCTATTAGCTCTTGGACCCTTGTGTGTGTGTGTGTGTGTGTGTGTGTGTGTGTGTGTGTGTGTGTGTGTGTGTGTGTGTGTGTGTGTGTGTGTGTGAGGAGTTTATGAACCTCCCCACCACCTCCCCTACCCCCCCCTCTCTCTCTCTATGATAATATAGAGGAAGCGGAAGTGACAAAGGGGCGGGTGGGCCAGACTGCCTGACTCCCCTCATGGCCGTCTGCCTGGCTGGCACACACCCACACACACCACATGACCTACATACACCCCCAAGTGTGTGCAACCACGCGCACATGATCACACCTTGATGCTCAAGCCTCAATAATGATATATGGTATACTCTCTCTCTCTCTCTCTCTCTCTCTCTCTCTCTCTCTCTCTCTCTCTCTCTCTCTCTCTCTCTCTCTCTCTCTCTCTCTCTCTCTCTCTCTCTCTCACACACACACACACACACACACACACACACACACACACACACACACACACACACACACACAATGGAAGTTGATTACTGCAACCGACCCCAATATTTGGGGCCTCTGCAGCTAAGAGTACTTGTAATAAGATATCAAGTAGCGGGCTGAGACTAATAGAGAAGCTGAGCTCACAGTTGGGTGGTAGTTAACGTGTAGTCTGGAAGGGCAGTTGAAATGTTAGTGTACGAGGTGACCTTGAAGGGACGGGGGAAGTGGGCAAAGAGATTTGTTTACTTCCTAGAGATCTGTGACTTTAATGATAACATTGCAAGTGTTAGGGCACAAGACAGTAGTGGTGCACCAGTTTATGACGCCTGAAATCTGGGTTGAGTGCTCAACCTGAGCTCTGGACTAATATGTAACCGGGGTTGAGCCCACAGCGCGCTCAACCGCGGCCCCTCTGCCCACATATTTCCATGGACGCAATATTGCCATGCCTCTGCAGCCAGCACTAAACCTATTGCTTTTCAGGCAGGCCTTTGATAATAGTGTGTGGAGAGAGTCGAGCAGGAGGAGGAGGAGGAGAGGAGTGAGGTGGTAAGATCTTGGGACCTCTGGCATTGACGGCAAGACCCGTCTGCAAGTGGTCCAGACGGCTGTCATAAGCCTCAGATGGACTAGTGTGTGTGTGCCATAAGTGTAAACAGTGAGTGTGTAGCCTCGCCTCCGATACAGGCAGTGTGAGTGGCTGCTTGTGTGGTGACGTCTCTCAGGGTGCCTAAAGCTTCTTTGAAAACACCTTTTGGGCCTCAGACGTAGATACCGGTTTAGTTTATAGTTTGAGACAGTAATGTGGAGGATAATGTGTTGGTAAGGTGGTGAGTGGAGGAGGTCTGGAGTTTATTAATGTGGAAGACTTGCATGATGCCTCCAGCTCCATCATGTCTTGGCGGCTGTGGCACCTGCTGGAGTGGTTGGTACCTGAGCGGAGGGACCCTTCCACCACCACCACCACCACCACCCACCACAACCCCTACCACAGCCAGTGGGCGTCGTGGGGGCGTCGCGCCCGGGCTCAGGCCCCCTACACTACCACCCAACGCCCCTCACGCTCCCTCTACACCTCCCCAACTCATGACCCTCACCGGCCTCTGGACATCTCACCCCTCCTCCGCCGCAGTGTGAGCTGCGTGGATGACTCCAACGTCACTCCTTCAGGTCCTCACTTGAAGCAGCGCTCCCCTGACCCTGCCACTCGTGTGCCCACTCTACCGGAGCAGCCCTCGCCCGACCCTGGCACTCAAGCGAGCATCCTCCTGAACCAGCAGGCCGACTCTGACACTCAAGTGGGTACTCATTTGTTGACGCCTTCATCCGATTCCGGCACTCAGGTGGATTATGCACTCAATCAACCCTCTTCTAACCTTGGCACTCTAGCGGGTACTCGCTGCAACAACTCATCTCCTGAGTCTAGCGCTCGAGTGGAAACTCTCCTGAACCAGTCAATCCCCGACCCTGGCCCTCAAGCGTGTACCGTAGAGAACCACCCCTCTCAGCCTCCTGGCACTCAGCATGCAGACCAAAACATCAAGTCTCCCACAGCTGTGTCGTCAGAGAATGCGGATGTTGGCGTGCAATCATGTTGGGGAGACGAGGACGGCGAGGTAGCAGCAGCAGCAGCTGAGAGTGTAGACCAGAGTGCTGTTGAGGAAGTAGATGGAACAATGAAGGTTACGAGGGCTGGTTCGAGACGTAGGTCTCTTCCAGGTCATTCAAGCGTTCCTGGACCTTCCAGACTGTCATTCCAGAGGAGGTTGTCGATACAGACGACACGGCGGTCGTCTTCTAAAACGAAAATTAACCTTTCAGCCAACGAGGTTATGTCCCAAAATGAGCGTTCGCAGCGTCCAGAGAATGACAGAGAGAAAACAACAGCAATTACGAGCGAACGAGGTTCTCCAGAGGAAGACGAGGAGACGGGTTCAAGGGAGACGAGCAATGTGACGGAAACAGAGGTTCAGCTTCACCTTAATCTACACCTGCATGACTCAACTCAGGTGAGCAACTTGAGCGGGGCTTCACCAGGGTACTACGTTACAGACAGATGCATGACCTTTCACTCAGACTATACAGCTGTGGTGAGGTCTGGCGGGGGAGGTGCCGGAGTGAGTGACTGGGCGCCCGGATGCCTGCAGGACTCGACCAGTTCCTCTGACGGGAGGTTCACAGCATCGACCCTGGCGATGGATGCCGCGTCGCTGCCTCCACTCCCAACGTACAGCTCGTCCCCCGCGCTGCCTCTTGCTGCAGCTGCCATCATGTCCGGTGTCTCCAGCCTCAGGTCCAACCTCAAGCACAAGGGCCAGGTGAGACGTAGGAGGTCAGATTCCGGACACTCTGTCACATTCGATTTGCCTGAAGACTGCGATAATTTTGGCGGGCTCAGAGAGCGGGTGCGTGACGAAGCTGAACCATTGTCTAAGTGTATGAAGGAGCAGAGTAACCGCTCAAGACAATTTGACGGTAAACTGGAGTTGGTTGAACCTTACCACCTACCCAACGACCCCCAGGAAGGACTCGGGTATGAACTAGATGCTGCAGGTAACACCATCCAGGCTTCTGAAGAGGTTGCCACCACCTGTTCCTTGTATGGGTTCTCCGAGAGGGTTCAGACCCCAGCTGACACATTTCCTGACGCTGGGGCGATTCCAACTAGTGATATAGCCAACGACGATGACGAATTGACGTTTACAATGGAGGAGAATCCTGTCCACGGGCTGTTCTCTTGGCACCAGGCGCACGATCCAATCATCAACGGAGATTTTGACAGCAATATTGCCAACAATGTGTTCGACATGATGGAAAACGAGTGCCCTCAACTTGCCCTGGACGACGATGTCATCAACCAAAGTGGAGGTCAGCCATTGACTACCGAGGAACCCACGCCATACCTCGACCTGCCTCCTCTCAACTCCCAAAACCCTTCGCCGCTGCCCCAGTACCTGATGGCTTCGCTGGCGTGGTCGTCAGCAGACGACAGCGGGAGCAGCGGGTCGTCGACCAAGGGCCCAGACTCCGGGTACTGGGGCGAGGGAACGGCGGTCGGGTGTGGCAGGAAGGGAGTGAAGATTGTGACACATGGCAAGGAGTTGCAGCTGCCGTACGCCTTCCTGCAGCAAGGACGCCTCAAGCTTCGCATCGTCAGAGGTGAGTACTCCGTCTGCTGCCGCCCTAACGTGGCGGGGGCAGTTATATTGGGGCCACACTCACGGCTGTTTCACATATTGTATATATGTGTAAATCACGAAAATTAACACGTGAAAAATATGACAGTGTCAGACCACGGAGGACGAATTGAAACAGGAATTTCCTTAAGTACTTTCGTATATCTATAGTACATCTTCAGAAGGAAGGATTCCTTTCTGAAGATGTATTAATATACGAAAGTACTTAAGGAAATTCCTGTTTCAATTCTTCCTCTGTGGTCTGACACTGTCATATTGTATATATGTGGTCTTTGCATGTCTGGAAACTGATTAGAATTACCTTATTTGAAGGTGAAGAAAAGACTCAATGGGCAAGTGTATAAAGACTCAATATAGGTGTAATAAACCTAATTTTTGTATGAAACCTTTAACAAGGTGGTGTAAACAGTATACAGTGTTACTGTATACTGTTTACACCAGTGTTGGTGTGTGTGTAAGCATGTGTCTATACCTTTGTCCAGAACATGTTTTACACCACCGTGATAAAGGATGTAGGTTTCGTCCGAACACTTGTTATAATGATGAACTTACACGCGTATTGGGTCTTCTCTTCCTCCCCTTTCATTCAAACACTGAGGTATTGTAGTGAGTTTCTCCATTACCTTTTGTGTTGCAGGAGAGACTTATGAATGTGTTGTTACCTTTATCTCTATATATATATTGTTTTGCTGTAGTTTACTTGAAAACTGCTTCGGGATTTGGCACTGTGTGAGCATACGAACGAGTGTGTTCTGCCATCTCTCTCTCTCTCTCTCTCTCTCTCTCTCTCTCTCTCTCTCTCTCTCTCTCTCTCTCTCTCTCTCTCTCTCTCTCTCTCTCTCTCTCTCTCTCTCTCTCTCTCTCTCTCTCTCTCTCTCTCTCTCTCTCTCTCTCTCTCTCTCTCTCTCTCTCTCTCTCTCTCTCTCTCTCTCTCTCTCTCTCTCTCTCTCTCTCTCTCTCTCTCTCTCTCTCTCTCTCTCTCTCTCTCTCTCTCTCTCTCTCTCTCTCTCTCTCTCTCTCTCTCTCTCTCTCTCTCTCTCTCTCTCTCTCTCTCTCTCTCTCTCTCTCTCTCTCTCTCTCTCTCTCTCTCTCTCTCTCTCTCTCTCTCTCTCTCTCTCTCTCTATCTATCTATCTATCTATCTATCTATCTCTCTCTCTCTCTCTCTCTCTCTCTCTCTCTCTCTCTCTCTCTCTATCTCTCTCTCTTATTTTAAACTAAGACTAGGGTTCATAGGGGCTGTCAAAGACGTGCCCAGTGAAGCTGCAAGCAAGAGCTGTTATCCTACCTCAGCTCATCTGAAGCCTGCTCCTAGAAACTCATTTATTTCATGAGAATGTACTTTGAAACTATCACATAGGGAACTATCATAAAGAAATATAATCATACAAGTTGGTGCAACCGCAAGCAAGAGCTGTTATCCTGCCTCAGCTAAGCTGAAATCTACTCCTGGAGGCGCATTTATTTCATGAGCCTGTTATATGTATCAGTGGGAATAGCCTTTATTCATTAACAACATTACGTAACAATCATATAAGGAAGAGGATGAGACTGTAGCCAACTGTGTGCCAGAGTCTTCATGTGATCAGTTGACCTGATCTCCCGTGTATCAACCTGTTGAGCCAACAGGCTCATGAAATAAATGGGTCTCTAGGAGTAGGTCTCAACTAAGCTTAAGGAGGATTACAGAATTGCTTACACTTTCATCAGGCTCTTGATGTGACAGCTCCCATTGTGATAGTTTCAAAGTACATTCTCGTGAAATAAATGAGTTTCTAGGAGCAGGCTTCAGATGAGCTGAGGTAGGATAACAGCTCTTGCTTGCAGCTTCACCAGGTACGTCATCTGTCAGCCCCTATGAACCCTAGTCTTAGTTTAAAATAAGAGAGAGAGAGAGAGAGAGAGAGAGAGAGAGAGAGAGAGAGAGAGAGAGAGAGAGAGAGAGAGAGAGAGAGAGAGAGAGAGACAGAGACCTGGCCAGCTTCATTATCCACAGTTGTCTCCATATAAGCCTCAGACCACAGAAGTCGGTGACCAAGTCCAGAACTGGACAGCTGGGAAGACCCACGTCTCAAGGCGGCCACGTTGAGTACTGACGGAGAGGAGAGCAAGTTTCCTTACTGCTAGACCATAGTGCATGTTTCTTATATTTTAAGTTGGTTGAAAACACTTCACATCGTATTAAATCGCTTGAAAGAGTTGAAATAGAAAGCATTATATTTAAGTTGGCTTAAGAAGAACAAAGATCTAATATAAAATAAAAATAACTATTTTAGGTGATTTTAAAAGATGGGCTGTAATGAAAACAGAAGTTAGTTTCAAGCTGTCAAGAAGGCAGAAGTTTGTTTCAAGCTGTCAAGAAGGCAGAAGTTAGTTTCAAGTTACAGGGATAATTTAGGCTGGTGGAGTAGGCCTATGATCCGTCTCCCGACACGCTGCGAAGATGGAAATATTTAGCGTTATTTAGAAATAATAGATTAATTGAGTTTCTTGGGACATTTTTTGCTTATGAACAGCGCCGAGAGGTAACTGTTGGCTTGGGACACGATGGTTTGGTGTTGAGTTTCTGGCCTATATTAACCTATGGAAGGTTATTGATGCTCAGGCCACTTACTGACCATCTAGTGCTACTACATGGTCCACGACTAAGGTAAACTGTGTATGTAGACTGTAGAGCGAGATATACCTTTCCACGCGTATACTGCTTTACCTCTGGAATAGGAGAGTTAGGTAGCTTTACCATAGTCCGTGTTACATGGGAATTTGAGTTCCGAGTAGCTATCTTGAGATGATTTCGGGGCTTTAGTGTCCCCGCGGCCCGGTCCTCGACCAGTCCTCCACCCCCCAGGAAGCAGCTTATGACAGCTGACTAACTCCCAGGTACCTATTTACTGCTAGGTAACAGGGGCGTCAGGGTGAAAGAAACTCTGCTCATTGTTTATCGCCGGCGCCTGGGATCGAACCCGGAACCTAAAACCTAAACCTAAACCAGCAGATAGCTGTGGCTGTCCTATAGCTTTTCGTCCTATACTAACCCAAAATAAACTTATTTTTGGTTTAGGTCGTAAAGCTACATCAACTTTAAACCAATAGGAATAAACTTGAGACTTGAGAATGGTCCAGGACGGACCGAAACGTCGTCGTCCCTTCACTTTCTAGTGTGTGGTTTGGTCCACATATTTCAGCCACGTTATTGTGACTCCTCGTCTGCAATAGGAATATTTAGGCAAGTTGAGAAGGGAGGTCAAAATTATTTTTAAAGGCATTACAGTGCCAAGTTATGAAAAGTCAGTAAGCTGATTGCTTAATCAGTAAACCATAGTGGCACTATAACTGATGGATGCTAACTACTACTACCACTATAATTGGCATTTTTGTCTCTTCTACCCTAAATTTACGATAATTTCTCCATAAGTAACATAGTTTTTATTACTGCTGGAATAGGGCTTGAGAAGAAAATGGGAATGATCTCGCCTGCAATTCCCGTTTTCTGTTATTTTGAACAGACGGGTAATGGTGTCATTTGCGAGCTAAAATGTGCCAGGGAATGTTCTTGGCAGTGTCTCTGTCTCGCACAGATGCATTGCTCACTTTACTGTTGTAGAAGAAATGTGGCGGTGTGTTCTGTCTGTGTCTGTCCAGGGTTATACGGTAGGGTGTTGAAGTGTATATATATATATATATATATATATATATATATATATATATATATATATATATATATATATATATATATATATATATATATATATGTCTGTTGACCAAACCACATACTAGAAGTGAAGGGACGACGACGTTTCGGTCCGTCCTGGACCATTCTCAAGTCGATTGTGAGAATGGTCCAGGACGGACCGAAACGTCGTCGTCCCTTCACTTTCTAGTGTGTGGTCTGGTCCACATATTTCAGCCAGGTTATTGTGACTCCTCGTCTGCATGTGTGTCTCTCGCCAGGGTCGTTGGAAGCCTAGACTGTCTTAAGATTCTAATTCTCATGAATATCGGCGAGTCTCGCCGTCTACTTAGAAGACTTGGGATAGCATTATTGGAGGATTGAGTGAATGCATATATTATTGTCTCTTGTCCTTACTACTTCCTTCGTTCATCTCTCCTACACACCCTCTTCTTGTTCGCCTTTTGGTCCAGAGCCTCGCTTCTGGCCTTTCTTCCATTTCCACTGTCTTCTCGCCTACTCTCATTCCATTGTCTCGCTAATTCGTTATTCCATTGTCTCTTATCTTCCTCTCCATTCCAGTTTCCTCCTCCCCCTCTGCTTGTTAATAATACTGGTGGTGTGAGAGAGGGCCAGGGGGGCGGAGACCCCTGGTGGTGTGAGAGGGCCAGGGGGGCGGGGACCCCTGGTGGTGTGGGAGAGAGGGCCAGGGGAGCGGGGATCCCTGGTGGTGTGAGAGAGGGCCAGGGGGGCGGAGACCCCTGGTGGTGTTTGAGAGAGGGCCAGGGGGGCGGAGACCCGTGGTGGTGTGAGAGAGGGCCAGGGGGGCGGAGACCCGTGGTGGTGTGAGAGAGGGCCAGGGGGGCGGAGACCCGTGGTGGTGTGAGAGAGGGCCAGGGGGGCGGAGACCCCTGGTGGTGTGAGAGAGGGCCAGGGGGGCGGGGATCCTGGTGGTGTGAGAGAGGGCCAGGGGGGCGGAGACCCCTGGTGGTGTTTGAGAGAGGGCCAGGGGGGCGGAGACCCATGGTGGTGTGAGAGAGGGCCAGGGGGGCGGAGACCCGTGGTGGAGTGAGAGAGGGCCAGGGGGGCGGAGACCTCTGGTGGTGTGAGAGAGGGCCAGGGGGGAGGGGATCCCTGGTGGTGTGAGAGAGGGGCAGGGGGGCGGAGACCCCTGGTGGTGTTTGAGAGAGGGCCAGGGGGGCGGAGACCCCTGGTGGTGTGAGAGAGGGCCAGGGGGGCGGAGACCCCTGGTGGTGTGAGAGAGAGGGCCAGGGGGGCGGAGACCCCTGGTGG